TCAGTGGTCATGTCATCGGTGGTCATTCAAAAGGTCACGCTAGGTCATGGAAGGTCACCAGCCGTTATTTGATCACACTTTCTGATGATTTTACTTGCCAAGAGCTTCGCGGGAAAAACGAGCGATGCACCGTTGAAAAAAATTGAGTGAAAGGGTCTCAGGTCCGGTGACATCTGCAGGTGAAATGCCCCAGGGTAGGATTCCGGTGCTTGTTGATTAACTTCGTCAAAAATGGCAGTAGAGCTGTGATGTCGGCACCATTGTGTTCGTCATGATCGAGCTGGCACGACCTGCATCGTTCTCATATTCACCCTCCAATCGTAACAACTACAGCAGGGATTGGCAAATGGCGGGGCACCCCCTTTGGGAGGTAATGAAGGTCTCTGGAAACCTCATCCCACATCTCTTTAGCATTAGTGGCTCTCCTTATGGAACAGGTTTCTTGACTGGTCTGTTTCGCCCCAGAATTCAAAGACTAGTCAAGGTAAAACCGAGCGCACCATCAGTGAGCACAATTTGATAAGCTGGTGTATCTCAATTTTCATGTAGAACCTTGCACGTATCACGGACCTAAAACCCTTTCGTGCACTCGTGCAAAAGCAACTGCCATGTTTCAACAGCTGGTAATGGCATTTTCACAGCCGCTGACGTAAGAAGGGGAGGGATGGGGGGCTCGATTAGACCCCCAGCCGTTCGGCCGCCGACCGAACTTAGTTTTGCAGAAAAAAAAACGAGTGCTATCGAACCCCTTGACGAGAGGGAGCCGATGCTATATCCAATTATAAGGTCTTGGGCTACTGCGTGCTTTTTTGGTCCTGCCTGTGATCTATCCGAACACTTCTCCCCACAAGTGCTGGGGTTAAATGGCATACCTAGATTTCAAATGGTTCCTGTGGTAGAACTGCCATGCTTGAATTTGACTAATTAGGAATGGAAAATTTTCATATAGTAACGGAAATCTATGGAATTTCAGTGAACTTGGTTTTATCGGCAATGGGGTCTGGCAGTGGGGTGGGGAGGTAATAAGTAATAACCCTGCCTGGCGCCCCAAAAAGGGGGCACGATCCCCGAGGCCCTGCCGATCACCTTATAACTACAGGCATCACAGCTCCACACCTTTTGCAGATGGCCAGGACCCCCTGCGATGCATCCCAACAGCAATCTTTATTCAGAACCTGCCTTGATTAACCAACGATGCATTAAATGCGACGGATAGCTCTATAATGCATTATTATCAACTATTGAACGGGCCTCGCCGATAGGGGGGTACTGTACCCCCCTAACTTTCGATAGCGGGGGACCTGTCCCCCCCGTCCCCCCCGGTGGCGCCGCCCATGCCCTTACCCTCTCCCTCAGTCCCGATGAGTTCAGATCGAACCACCGCGGCGCGGATTAATACGGTAAATATTTATTGCTACCGGCTGCTGAGGAACCATGTCGTTATTACGGTACTACCATAACACATTTGTAGCTGTTATTCCACCGACAAAGTTCAAGGACAACGCTCGGCCTGGCCGCTGACAGGTTTTGACTTATCGGTGCATCGCCAGCTGCGTATGTGAAACAGCAAAGCTGCATACACTGCCTTATCAGTTGCTGTTTAATTTATCAGTTTTGCAGCCACAAACTGCGTTGTCAAAAGACGTGTATCTACCTATAAGTTACCCTCGTAGTAGCATGACGATGTTCTAATTTTCGTAATACGATAGTCCACTGCACATCGCACAATGTTTCGCAATTGTTATAAAATAGATTTATTTGCTAGGTCCCATCCTCGACGTTAGAGCGGCTTTGATTGAGATGGGATAGCCTGTGGATGTGACAGGTCATCCGTTTATTAGTGACTTGTTAAGAGTATATAGAATATAGACTCTTCATTGAACGCAAGTTACCGTTGTCCCATGATCCAATTCAATCAATCGTGCGACTCCAAGTGACCAGTTCATTCATCAGAAATTCACAAAAAGCGCAAAAACGGTATATTTCGTGAAGTGCGGCGCTCACATGTGCGGCATCTTTGGCTGTCGCGTAAATGCGTAAGCTGGTTGAACCAGTTTGTTTTTTCCTTGCTGTTTTCCTTTTTTTAGCTTGTTGAATGGCGTAAGTTGTACATGAATCAGATGGTTTTTTCCAGAACCAACACCTGCTAATCGGATTACGTGACAAAAGATCGTAGAGCAAAAGATCGTATGGAAAAATGATCGTAGGAAAGTGATCGTAAGATAAAGATCGTATGCTGTAAAAGATCGTACGACTAAAGATCGTAAGCAAAGGATTGTAAAGAAAATGGTCGTATGCAAGGAGATCATATGAAAATGATGGAAGATGAAGATTGTTCGACTAAAGATCATAAGCAAGGGATCGTAAAGCAAAAGATAGTATGCAAAAATATCGTAGGAGAATGATCGTAAGATAAAGATCGTATGTCGCAAAAGATCGTAGGGGAGATCCGTGTAAGACGCCCAAGGTCGGTAAGAGGCCCCATCGCTTTTTTTACCAAACCAATAATGTTATTTATTTTTTAATGTTCTTGTAAAGCAGAAGCCCTCTTGAAACAACAACTCACGAAACCTGAGGTATCAGGTGCGTCGCAGCGACTTTTGGTAAGCCTGTTTCTGTTTTTTCCCCTTTACTTGCTAGATATATGCATCTTTATCACCCTTATATATCTGAAAAAACAATGACTATCAAATGCAATCTTATCTCATCGAAATTGTCACATGTTAGCTTCAGAATAGACCATGTTCTGGTGCGCTGCAAATGTCTCATAAACCATAAATATTGTGACGTTAAAACACTGCATTTTTTTAAGAGGCCCTCCCTTCGAGGATTATAAAACGCCCCCCCCCCCCCGATAAAAAACGCCCCCGATGCTAAAACGCCTGCACCTGCGGCAGGCGTGGCATTCTTTTTTCAAGGAGTTTGTTCTTGTTTCTTTTTTCTGTTTCTTTTTCTAGAGGTAATAGGTACAATTTTCGTTGGTCATCACTCATCAGCGTTTGGTTGTGCTAGTTTTCGCATTGGTCGAGCGCTTTGGAAGTGTTATTGGTTTCGATAACACTGTATTTGCTTAGCTTTTCGAAATAAAAGGCCTTGCAGCTGTGTTCGCAAAACGTCTTTTACAAGTCGACTTGCCTTGTTAAACGCCCGAGGGGGGGGGGCGTCTTACCATACCCATAGTGTAAGAGGCCCTTTTGCAACTTTTTCCAAAATGTTAAAGTTTACGGTTTGTGTACCCCCTAGATTCATTTTGAATGCAAATATGTATGGGAAAATGATGCATGCTCACAGCGCATGCACACGTTAGCTCTTAAATATTATCAGTTGTCTAAAAATAGCAACTGAGCTTAAGGGGGGGCCTCCTGCACCACTCTCCCCTACGACCAAAGAACGTAGGCTAAAGATCGTAAAGAGAAGGATCGTATGAAAAAGATCGCGGGTAAATGATCGTAAGAAAAGATCGTATCTTGTAAAAGATCGTACGACAAAAGACCGTAACGCAAAGCTCGTAAGGTAAATAGGTCATCGTATATAATCATATTATAGGTAAATCAAAATGATTGTAGGATAAAGAGCGTTAGTCGCAAAATATTTTACGAAAAAAACACGACGTGCGTGTGCCGCTGTTGCCTGTGGGGTGCCCCTGTTGGGGTACTCAAGTCTTTTGGGGGTGCTGAGGCACCCCGATGATATACATTACAAATCCACACCCATGCTTAGGTAGGTCACCTATAAAAAAAATCCGACAATTAAATCCAGAAATTCACAACTATGAGTGTGACACGTTGATTACCATGGGTTTCGATGCTAGAGCATGGGTGGGGACTTCTAAAAAAAAAAAAACACACACACACACACCTACTTGTAAGCGCTCACTCGATTGGGGGTCACAGACATAGGTAGGTGTGCCCCTCACGGCTGGGCGTACCCCCTATGCCAAAGAGGGTCCTCATATTTCAGATGTTACCAACAATATCGTACTATTTTTTGTGGGTTATTCATAGTACATCGAACATCGATAAATAAATAGCAATCCAGTAAAAACATGTTTTGTTAACATTGTATTGACAAAATAAATATTTTAGATAAAGGTAAAATAAAGATATTCAAATGCAAACGAACCGATTTGTTTATCAGGACTGCACTCATTATATTTATACCTACGTCAGCGTATGATATTTCATGGAAATTCTGGAAAACTTAGAAACCAATATCAATGATTGGATTGGAAGTTCCGCAATCACGGATCTGCGAAACACGCACGTAATTTCCAGGATGGTCACGCATCACGTAGCTTGACCTTAAGCAGTATAGCGCTGGATTGTTGCTTTGCTCTAAATGTTTACCGATGACGTATGCTAGCCACTTTGTCGTTTTATTTTGACTGTAGTTATGGCATGTTTTTTATCGCGAGGTGTTCTGAGTTATGTAAAATAGCATTTTGGCCTATTTGCAGAATGCATAATTCAGATATGACATTACATGACGGACCGACGAGCGTCCGAATAATGAGAAATCATGGCATTATTGAGCTTTGCTTAACTATACAGCCAAACGTCGACGACCCGATTAAAGCTTGCAGTATGATTCGTTAGCTCTCTGTTACAAAACATTCCCAATGTTGAGCCGACATTCACCGTGATTGCGCCCGCTCTGAAGTTTCCATTTTCCGTCCGTGACACCAACCTTTAAGGCCTTGCACATAGCTGATGTGATTAACTACCGTCGGTGGGGGCACCTCGGTTGATAATTCTTGGCCCTCCGTCAAATATTCATACCGCCTCGGCGCGTGGCGGCCGAAACTAACGTGGCGTCACTGGCCAATGTTGCGGTCTCTGTTGCGTCGTCGTCATGTCAACTATCAGACGAGTCGCCGCCCAGCCCATGCTGAAACTAACGTTTCGTTGGCGTCGTCGGTTCCGTCGTCGGCTTCGACGCTGGGCATCTGTTTTGTCTCTGATAAAGCCTCGGCGCCGGTCGTCGAGCGCGGACGTTCCGATATGTCGGCAGCGCTGGGCGCCACACTGCGCCGGTTGTCTCTGTTATCACTCAGCGTTCTAACGCTGGCCAGTAAATCTCAGTTCACCAAGAAGCCGGTCCAGTTCACCGATTCACCCGTATCAAGTTTCGCCGCTCCGTCGCGTCTGTTCTGTTCGGCCAAATGTCAGAGGCAGGAGGCGACTGCTTGCGGCGGATTCGTCTACGGAGGTGATGGAATGTGTCACCTGTACAATGGGCGAAACGTGTGCGAGGGACCGGCTACCCCGCCCGACGAGGGCCAGCCGACGTCAGAGCGATGGATCAGATCAGTCTGCCCAGGTAAGCGATTCTGATATATGACGGAGATGGAGGTTAAAAGTCCCCAGAGCCGGCAATTAGCAATCAATGGGGTGGCATGGCTTCTTGCATCCCTCAAATTCCTTTGCTTAACACAATATCAATAGACAATATCAATGTCATTGAATATCAATATTAATTAGCAATAGCAATATCACTAAATATCAATATTAATTAGCGATATCAATTACCAATATCTAATTAACCGTTCAGGGACAAAACTTCAATCAGGGTAAAAACTTGGTTATAACTCAATTCAAGACTGAGCTTTTAAAAATAATCCTTTTCCCCTTTGTTATCCTCGAGACAACCAAATATTTCTCCTCCACACCTCTAACCCCTAGATCCGGGCAGGATGGTCAAATTCATCCAGCGTGGGTAGCTCCTCACGAGCAGACTCATGTGCGCCGTTGGGTGACCGGTAGGAGGCTAGGTGGCCTGTCCAAGTGACGGGCTCAGCCCCGGCCACTCACCGGGGTGCTCTCGTCCAGACCAATGTCTCCCCTAATTCCTCTCATCCTTCTATTCGTGTAAAAGTCTCGTTTGACGAAGAGATCAACCCTAATAAAATCAAAGACTTCGATTTAAAAAAAAAACGACAAAAAAGGTAATAATTCAATTCCCATGTTCATCTTAGTCATCACTTGACCCTCACATTTCAGTCGTCCCCGTTCTATTCCAGGAACCATCGGCTCGCGTTGCAGCTGTCCCCCCGGTTTTACGCGCTGCGCCGGTCGCTGCTACCGTCGAATCGCCCTAAAGAAGGTGCTCTACGCCGAAGCGGAGAGCCAGTGCGCCGCGCTGGGCGCCCACCTGGCCGTGCCCCGTTCGGAAGCCGAGAACCAGTGCGCTATCAATCTGGCTGTTGGCGATGATGTCTGGTTGGGAGTCACCGACGAGGTCACCGAAGGCACGTGGATGGGGAAGGACACCTGCGGACGAGTGTCGCCTCCTGCAGCCTGGTGGATGTTCGGCGAGCCCAACAACTGGGGCGATACCAACAACGCCGATTGTATCTACATCCGCTTTTCGGCGGAGTGGGCGGACTGGGACTGCCCCACGCTGAGTTTTCCCCTGTGTCAGCTGTGGCTGTGTCATAGAGAAGATTGCGCCTGAGCAGGGCGGGAGCAGAGCTCAGACGCCAGCACAAATGCACACCAACATTTTTGAGTGGTTAATGTATATTCAAAAAGCTGGAACAGAGTGGGGTTAAGGGCTGTGCGTTGGTAACGGTTTCAGTTCAATTTGCTCGTTCCGGTAATTATTAAAATTGTGTAAAGGTATGTAACATAACCCGACAAAGATAACAATGGTGCATGCTGCTGCTGCCTGCAATAACGTGCGCTGCGTTTCGGCAGAAAAATAAAACGCGAAGATAACACTTCGGTCTAAACAATAGACATATTTTACTTACTCGAAGAAGGTATTCAAGAGTACATTGAATAACAATAATTGATTATTGCTCCCGCCGGCACAGGCCATTTTGTGTCCTTCGACGGCACAGGAGAGGGGGGGAGGGTACAACCCCCTCGCGTTTGCCCCCTAATTAAGCTAGACCCTCGCGGAAAAAAATCATCGTGTAGGTCGTCATGAGACGAAGCCAACGGTACCTGGTTTTAAGGTCATAGGTCAAATGGTGACCTCTGAGGTCAGGTCAATGACCCAAAAGTCGGGAAAATCGGTACCTGTTAGAACGTCGTAAAGTGTGGCTGCCTCAGGGTTTATCGGGGTGCTGATCACGAATATCGTGTTAGTTTTGATCACAACGTTGCCTTCATACATTTAGGCCAGGTCGAGTCAGGTCAGGTCAAGTCAACCAGTAAGGGTCCTGCAGGGTGTTCGCAGTAGGTGTCAACCACCTCCGACAGCTTCGTAACATGTTACGAAGGTACCAAAACTATTTCGTAAATGTTCAAATTGTTGCTAAATTCGAATGCAGCTCCAAAAACTAGCCTAGAAACATATAAAACTCGAAAAAGTGAACCAAGGTCATCAAAGCTCAGTGTCCAGTGACCTGACCTGACCTTCAGGTGACATTGACACCCACCCTAATGCATGGGACCAACATCATATCACCTGTTTGAACGCTTGAAACCACGCAAAGACTGCAAACGCGCCGCTAATGCGAGCCGACATACGAATTGTTGAGATGAAAAATGAAATGCCCTAGGAGTGAGGACGCGATCGAGAAGTGTACAATAGTGTACTGTGCGGAGTTTGTCAGCGTCTAACGTGTAGGAGGGAGGGGGGGGGGTCGGTCGGACCCCCCCCCTGCCGTTCGATCCCTGATCGTGCTAGAAGTTCGGCACTGATGTCCAAAGGTCAGAGCGCAATCTGCACGTAATTGTTGCAAAATTAACCCAACGGTTAGGGTCGGTCAAGCGAAAGGTGATGGCTTGCTTATCGTGTATAATTTAACTCAAGAACAGATGGTTATCTTATTCGTGAGCGTTGGTCTAAATACGCATGTAACCGTTAACTTTATCACGAGTACAGCCGTATTGTGGGACAAAAGCGCGTGAGCGGCTGATCTAAGACGTTTTATTTTGTTGAGTGTGTTGCTGCCATAACGTTATTGTTGCAAAGTTAGTCATATAAAGTATCAACATGCATAGTATATGCCTACTACACATAGCACACTGCTCAGTGCACCGGCTTTTCGTATAAAAAAAAAAACACAGACATTGGCCGCACAACGGTAAGAAGTTACGGCTTACGATCGCATGACCGTTTCATCAAAAGCAGAGGAAGCTCGGACAACGCCATAAAAGGTATTCGCAACCCATACTTTTATATACCAAATAGTATAATAATCCAAATTCTTATAGAAACAACCTCATAATCATATGGGAAAAGATCGCTGACAAGCAATGATGGACAGAGAGTATAAAATTTATTACAATAGTGTAACGTCTATACTCGATGCATAGACCTCTGTCTACCTCTGTATACAGAGGTCTATGCTCGATGATATTCACACCTGTCCGTGCTTCTATCCTCAGGATACTGAAATCCTTCTCCTCCACGCCACAACCCCCTTCCGGGCTGGGCAGGCAACTTTATCTCATGCGGGCTGCTCCCTTGGAGCGGCACCGCTGCTCCCGAGGGAGCGCACCCCGTAGCCGGGTGCAGTGAGTGCCTTGGGGCTGGGTGGCCTGTCCTCTGGACGGGCTCAGCCCCGGCGACTCACTAGGGTGCCTGCCCAGACCAATGTCTCCCCCTAATTCCTATCATCCTTCCGGCTCTGCAATGGTCTTGTCAGACCGAAAGGGCCTAACCCAACAAAACAACCAAACAAACGATGATATTATGATCAAGCATAACACGCCTCACTTACATATGTGTGACGACATCTTTCACTGGTCACGCTACACGCGCGTGACCTGAAGAATCATAGGACCATTCTGGCGTACTTTGGCTCACAGTGAATGCGTTATTCAGTGCGATTATTCATACCTATAGCTGGAATAGATATGACGCATTCCACCCAATAAATTCACGAAGAGCCGACCGATAAAAGCCAGATGAAAGATGAAAGTCCTCTACCAATGAAAGCCCAGCGTATTCCAACACAATAGGAGCATAGACCGATAGCGTTCCTTTCAAGCGTAAGTTATGACACATTTTCACTATGGAGTGTACCGGATAGGTAGGTATGTATATACAGTCTGTCTTAAAAGTACTGCGCAAAGTGACGGTGGATCCTTCAAGCCTGACCGAGGAATGGCCTGCTATAATCTAAAAGTCACCGAACCGATTGACCTGGGGAATGGACGAGGATGTCAATTGCTTCGGTGAAGCTATATAGGCAAGGCACTTTATAGCCATCGGCCATCGCTCATATCTTCCCCCGTAATAAACACCCGTGGAAAGTGCTCGACGTTGAAACTGATGTCGTTGGGGCCATACCTATACATCATACAGATATATAATAACACACTGTCACCGAGGGGACGAACAAAATTATGAATCTAAAATACCTACCTATTCTTTTGATTTATAGGGCGCCATCATAAACCCTGGATACAGAGATCGATGGTGCACATACCTACCAGAACAGTAAAGTCCCCAACATTATTTGCGCTCTATACGTTCCCTGCGCTCTATACGTGTTACACATTGCACATTCCGACTTCAGTAATTCTGATCTTATCATCCAGCGACGCGCTACTATCATGCCTCTCACCCTTCAACCCTCGCTCTTATACGGGGGTCGAACGGGCTCCCATCTGTTTTTCGCGAATAACTCGCGCAAAAAGGGGCTGATCGTGATGAAACTTTCAGTCACGTCGAGTTAATCAATTTTACACCTACCCTTAACCCACCAGCCGCTGGGGGGGGGGGGAGCGGGGCGGGGGAGATAAAGTTACCTCCCCCTTGACGTTTAGTAGAATATCTCCGAAACCTTATGAGCTATGAACATAAACGTACAGGCATATCTTCAAATGAAAACCTAGGCAATATTTGAGAAAAGTTTGGTGGCTGTAGCGCTTCAGATGACGTCACAGTGCCGTCATAAATTTTTGACGTTTTCCGGCATGGAGCGCTTCTGATGTCACTGAGCAATGAGCATGAAACGCAACGATGAATGAACTAAACTGCACTTACTGTCATCCCGACTCGTCTAAGTAGCCTTTTACCTAGTAGTAGTTCCTGACCAGTTTTCGCTCCTATAGGTATACTAGATCCTACATATAGGTATCGAATATATCGCGTGGAAACTAAGAAAGGCTAATCTATAATCAGTCTTTTGACATCATTGTGACGTAATTTCAAATCGATCTTAACCCTATTAGTGGCAGGGGGTTGTTTTCATCCACCCCTCAGGTTTTTCGGGAATATCTCCGAAACCGCTAAAGCTACGATGCTGAAATTTTCTGACTTTTCCTAAAACTAAATTGGGCACATTCCCTGAAAATTTCAAGTTCATAACTTTACCAGGGGCGGCTCCAGAGCACTGGAAATTGGGGGGGGGGGGGGTCCTATTCTTGAAGCGAGTCATTTGGGCGAAGATCATGATGCTGATGTATTATAACTGTATGCACCAGTTTTACGAACAGTGAATGAAAGGTATCATGTGATAACATATACAAAGTTATTGTGCATCCTCTTTTGACACGTTTTTACTATAATAGGCGGATCCAGGCGTCCCAAAGGGGGGGGGGGTTATGTTTTACCTCCCAACATAGGTGCCCTGACACCGCCTATGCATGACCAATACAATTGTAGTCGTTCTCTCATAAGAAAATTGTAACATAACAAGACCATTACCACCCTTTTTAGAAACAGTACCAACAAAAGCCTTATTTTCTATACTTTTTGTGTACCCCCAATCTCAATGATCTCTATCCGCCTATGATTTTTGAAAATGCATATTTTTAGGATCCATGTGAATTCCTGGTTCATTCTCTATCGATCGGCAAAAGTTGCGTTGAGATTGGTTCAGAAACCTGGCCGTGATAAACAGTCTAAAATGTATCTGCAATTTGCCCGTTCCCCCCCCCTCTACCCCCTATTGACATTTCTTAATTTTTTTAGAAATGTAGATCACGTTGAACGAAATCGAATGCCGTTTGAATTTTGAAAATCGGCCCGTTAGATCTCGAGATATCAGGGGGGGGGGGTCGTAAACAGCCCCCCCCCCTGCCACTAATAGGGGTAGCCAGGAGCCTGCCACTAATAGGGTTAATATATCAGCCTACAATCGTTGAAACAGTTCTTCGTGACATTCGTATTGCCAGAAACAGCCATGTACGTTCAAAAAAACGATAGACAGACATGATTATTAATCGAGCTTGTCGTAAAACACTTCTGACTGCAGGCAGGTCATCCCTGTCCTGCCAGCGGCTAATACCGAGCGCCATAAAGCGGCTCAAAAGGAGCCCCGGTCATCGCACTTAGCGGATCGGCTGCCTGGTGTTCTTATTCGGTACTGAAATAAAGAGGCAAACACTTCCAGATAGAAATTTTTGTAGGAGTAATTTTGGGAATATTCCATTTCCCTTCTACGATTGCAAGAATAAGTAATAGGGGAAGTTGGGGCAATGCCGGAGTTGGGGCAAAGCCGAAATTCGAGATATTTCTAAAACCGTACGACATGGATGCCACGTCTCAGTGATGCTCTGAAGCTTAACCCGCGCCCCGCTGGGGGGGGGGGGGGGCAGAATCTGCCCCCCTCCAGTTTTTCGCCAATAACTTCTAAACGCGTTACGCCAGCGACGTCAAACTTTCAGTACCTTATCATATATCAATTTGACACGTTCCCTGAAAATTTGAGCGAAATCCGTCGGAAATTTTTTGAGAAATTGACGTTTTAGTGACGTCATGTTCGCTATTTTCGCCTAAAAAACGGCAAAATTTCAAACGCCGCTAACTTCTTCATTTTTAAAGGAATCAAGACGTAACAAAAAAGGTTATACGTGATTCTACTTTAGGTATCTATCAAATGGCTATCTCGGTTTTTTGAAAATGATGGATTTTGGCCAAAATATTTCCAAAAAACTGACTTTTTTGGGAAAATATTTATAAAATCCAAAATTTTGAGTTTATCGAAAAAACCGGAATATACATCAAAGAAGTGGTCTATGTGCACCTACATACCAATTTTTAGAAGAATCGGTTCAAAAATGTGGGAGTTATTCAAAATTTTATGACGTCACGACTCACAAAAATTTTGAAAAATAATTTTTTTGGAAGTTCTAGACCTCGTACGGAAATAAAAATAGCACCATTCGATTCGGCGTGAAAAACTGCATCGGATAGACACCTTTTTAGGCCTTAACAACCAACTTCAAAATTTGACCTCACTTGACCTGACCTTGACCTGACCTCGACCTGAAATTCATCCAGAGGTGGTCCATATCACTTATTGAGTGTGCCTATTGAATTCCATGAGTAAAATGACCCATAAAACATGTGTCGCACATGCCCTTTTCTATATTTTGTTTTTGGTGACCTGACCTGACCTGACCTTGACCTTGACCTTTGAATGACATTGTGTGCAACGAATATTGTCTTGGTAGTCTAAGAACACGTTTTGGGCAATCAGTCTCAGTCCATTCTTCGGCAACTTCGGTGCAAGGCCGATACTGTAGAAACTTGCATTTTGTACCCTTGACCTGACCTTGACCTGACCTCTGACCTACTTAAGCAAAAAAAATTTGGGCTCTTAAGATCCGCCTTGTTGAGAGCTTTCGATTGCCGTTTTCCCCGTCTTTCTACGACCATCGGTTCGGAAGTTAGACAGGGGGGGGGGGCAGAATCTGCCCCCCCCCCCAGCAGGGCGCGTATGGCTGAATAGCCCAGCGGGGCGCGGGTTAAGTGACTACAATTATCGCATGTTTGCTACGAGTTGTCATTTGGAATACTTCGGCTGTGAGGGCGCCAAAAGCGTTTTCAAGGTACGTTTCCCTTGTACTACATGCG